TTATTTTTTAGCTGTAGTTGGACACAATATCTTTATTTTATCTACTTATTTTTTTATGTGGTGCTGAGGTTAGAACCCAGGGCCTGGCACGAGCAAGGCGAGCGCTCCACCACTGAGCCACAGCCTCAACTGCTTCTTCCTTTTCTATCTCACGGAGCCATTCTCCATGACTGATTAAGGTGCTCTCCATATTCAGCAAGAGCTTCCAAGTCTGGGCAAAGATCAGCTCTGACCATGGCTAAGAAATAGGAAGGAAGAGGGGCTGCAGAAGTGTAGCTGGTGGTGGCAGGGGCTCGCACCTCCCAGGTTGAGGCCTGGGTTCAATTCCCAGCACCAAAAGGAAAGAAAAAGGACGCAGGAGAGAAAGTGAGCGCATCCCCGATTCTTCCATGAGTAAGACTATAAAGTGGCACACAGGGCTTCCCCTCACCTGCCCTTGGTCCCATGGCCACATCAACAGTCAAGGGAAGCTAAGCACTGGCTGGCTGGCCACGTCTCTAGCTAAAAGCAAGAAGAGGGAAATGGCTACAGATAGACAGTTACTCATCTTTTCCAGAGATGGACCAATGGAAGCCCAATTTTTTTATGTGAATTCTAAAGAAGACTAAGAGGAACTCTGCGGTCCATTGTAGGTACATGAGGCAATTATGCAGCAGGTGCAAAGTGCAGGGTTAGGTTATGTTGGTTAGGTTACGTGGCTTTTTTCCCCATGTGTTTTTTTCCTTCAGGAACTAGGTGTACAGAGTTGGATTACTCAGCATCCTAGGTCATAAAAAGCAGTCGTCATTGGTACATGTGTGGCTCACTTTTATTCTTTTTTCTTTCTGGTACGGGGATTGAACTCAGGGGAGCTTCACCACTGAGCCACATCCTCAGCCCTTTTTACATTTTATTTAGAGACAGGGTCTCACTAAGTTGCTCAGGGGCCCGCTTAGTTGCTGAGGCTGGCTTTGAACTCATGATCCTCGTGCCTCAGCCTCCCCAGCTGCTGGGATTACAGGTGTGCATCTCCATGGCCAGCACTTTTATTCTTTTATGTAATAATTTGTGTCTTTAAACTATGATGAGACTTGTGAATCCCTTACAGTTATCTTTACATCCCTGTCCTATCCCTGATTCTTACACTTCAGAGGTCTTTATTATTCTCTCACTCTTTTATTTTGTTTTGTTTTCGGTTCCTGGGATTGAACCAGGGGTGCTCTAACACTGAGTCACTTTTTATTTTATTTTAAGGCAGAGTCTCACTAAGTTGCCCAGGCCGCTAGACCTTGAGATCCTCCTGCCTCAGCCTCCTGAGTTCCTGGGATTATAGGCAGACGTTACCTTATCTGGTTTGCTTTTAAAATAAAGTTTTATCCACATATATATGTATGGCTAAATAACATATTATCTCATTTTAGTGGTTTTCGAATTTTGTGAAAAGGTTATCATCATACTATGGCCCTTAAACTCTAAAAATATTTTTTTCTGGGGTTGGGGAGATAGCTCAGTTAGTACAGTGCTTGCCTCACATGCACAAGGCCCTGGGATCAATTCCCAGCACAAATAAATTATTTTTTTTTTCTGGTTACAGAATCCTGGGTTGGCAGTTGTTTTTTCTTTTACCATGATTAAAATATAAATCCAGGCTGGTAGTGTGGCTCAGTGATAAAGTGCATACTAAGCATACACGAAGCCCTGAATTCAATCTGCAGCACATTAAAAAATATATTTTTTAAAAAATCAATGTTTACATATAATATATTATTAAACTCTATTTTTAATTTTTTAGTTGTAGATAGACACAATACCTTTATTTTGTTTATTTATTTTTACGAGGAGCTGAGGATCGAACCCAGCGCCTTGCACGTACTAGGCAAGTGCTTTACTGCTAAGCCACAACCCCAACCCCTATATTTATATATTGATACACACACACACACACACATATATCCATTTGATTTGGGTTTCCTTTGATTCCTTTTGAATAAAAAAACATGCTCTTCCAAAGGGCAGTGACTAGGGTACCAGTGCCATCCTCCTGGATCCTTCTGAGATTTCTTTTCTTTCTTTCCTTCTCTCTCTCTCTCTCTCTCTCTCTCTCTCTCTCTCTCTCTCTCTCTCTTTATTTATTTTTGTAGTGCTGGGGATTGAATCCAGGGCCTTGCCCATGCTGGATGCTCACTGTATCACCTAGCTACACCCCAACCCTTGCTAGATTATTTTCTATGGTTTCCTACCTCTTTATAGATTTTCAACTTTACCTTTTATTTATTTAAATATAGTAATCAAAGAAAATCCTGACACATGCTACAGCATAGATAAATCTTTTATTTATTTATTTATTATTTATTTTTTAGAGAGAGAGAATTTTTTTAATTTTTTTTTTTTTAAGTTTTCGTCGGACACATCTTTGTTTGTATGTGGTGCTGAGGATCGAACCTGGGCCGCACGCATGCCAGGCGAGCGCGCTACCGCTTGAGCCGCATTCCCAGCCCCCTAAATCTTTTATTTAAAAAAAAAATTTTTAGTTTTGGATGGAAACAATACCTTTTCATTTTATTTTTATGTTGCGCTGAGCATGAACCCAGCGCCCCACATTTGCTATGCAAATGCTCAACCACTGAACTACAAGCCCAGCCCCCATAGATAAATCTTAAGGTTATTATATCAAATGAAACAAGCTAGTTGCAAAAGAACAGATACCGGGCTGGGGAGGTGGCTCAAGCAGTAGCGCGCTCACCTGGCATGTGTACAGCCCAGGTTCAATCCTCAGCACCACATAACAACAAAGATGTTGTGTCCGCCAACTAAAAAATAAATAAATATTTAAAAAAAAAAAAAAAGAACAGATACCATGTGACTTCTTTTATATAGATTTCTAGAGAAAGTTGAATGGTGGTTTCCAGGAGCTGGGGGAGAAAAAAAATGGGAATATCTTGTTTAAGAGGTATACAGTTTATTTTAGAAGATGAACAAGTTCTAAAGATTGTTTGTATGACAGTATTAACTATAAACTACAAACACGACTCAATTGTATGCTTAAAAATGGGTAGGATGGCCGCTGGCATGGTGGCACACACCTGCAATCCTGGCTACTCCGGAAACTGAGGCAGGAGGATCACAAATTTGAGGCTAACCTGGGCAATATAGCAAGATCCTGTCTAAATCAATCACTCAATAAAATTAAAAATAATTCTTAAAAAATGGCTATAGTGGCAATTATACCACAATGCAAATAAAATAAAAATAATATCAGAGTTGTTTTATAATCTGTATTTATTGTAGTTCTGTTGCTGCTATACGATATTTCAGCTGGTTCTCACAGCGCCTTGTTCTTATGTGCTTAGTTATTATTATTTTTTTTTAACCATGTTCTGGTCATTATCCCTGAAAAATTGCTAATGGTGACTTTGGGATGAGGACCAGCATAAGAGGTGCCATCCTCCAGGGAGGATTTGAGTTTGTTTGTTTCTGCCAGGCACTTAGAGACACTTCTAGTTCAAGACAACTGTAGATGAGATTTATGAATGAAAGGGTTTAAAAAAAAAAACTTTACATAACTTGGTTATAAATACACATGCACTCACAAACTGGTTATGGTTACAAGTTCTCAAGAGTCTCCTGGGAGAAAGATATAGGGGGCAAGTTTACTTTTGATTCACTGGTTCCCTGGTCACGGCTAATGTGAGGGAAGACCTCTCAACACATGTGCCTCCTGGGTGGAGCCTGCTCATTCCTCTTACCTGCAAGGCTGGCATAATGAAATTGACACTTGCCAGTCCTAGAGGCACAGGCTTATAATCCCAGCAACTCTGGAGGCTGAGTCAGGAGGACTCAAAAGCCAGTCTCAGCAATTTAGTAAAAAGGGCTGGGGACGTGGCTCAGTGCTTTGCTCCTGGTAATAATCCCTGGTACAAAAAAAAAAAAAAAAGTAAAAGAAAATTACATTTGCCCAAACTGGCAAATACCCTCAAAGCAAAACTAAATCCCTGTTTTGCTGAAGTCCTAAAGCTCTCACCTGATCAGCACTTCTGTGCTTTTAAAATATTTAAAAACTATTTCAGGACTGGGGTTGTAGCTCAGTGGTAGAGTGCTTGCCTAGAAAGCTAGAGGCCCTGGCACTGCAATAAAACAAAACAAAACAAGTCTATCTTTTCTAGTTGTTTTTAGCCTCAAGTTGCCCTATTAAATAATCTAGCCCATGAGAGGTCCTTCTACTTTATCTCCTGTTTCATTGATGTCTACTCTTTCTGTTTATTTTCTTTCTCCTACTTTTTGATTGTTCTTATTTTAAAAAAATATATTTTTATTAGTCACTGATGACATTTTTTATTTTATTTATTTGTATGTGGTGCTGAGAATCAAACCCAGTGCCTCACATACAATTTGGTGTTTCCTGCTACGAATGAAAATTACTAGGAGGTTTTGAACCCAGAGAAGTTTTGATTGGTCTGGGGTGGGTACTTCCAGCAATTCAAATGCCAAGCCACGGTTGAGAATCACCATTCTTTTTTGGGGGGTAAGGTGGGAGTACCAGGGATGGAATTCAGGTGCACTCAGCCACATATCCCCAGCCCTATTTTTTTGCATTTTATTTAGAGACACTGAGTGGCTTAGCACCTCCTTTTTGCTGAGGCTGGCTTTGAACTCGCAATCCTCCTGCCTCGGCCTCCAGAGCCGCTGGGATTCCAGGCATGGCCACCGCGCCCCGCTGAGAATCACCACTCTTAATTTCTCAGCTTGCTGCTCCCAGCTCCAGACTGAATCCTCCCTCCTCCCCGCCCCACAATCATTTTTTTTAATACCTTTATTTTTATTTTTTTGTTTGTGTGTGATGTCGAGGATGGCACCCAGCGCCCCGGTACTAGGCAAGCGCTCTGCCGGGAGCCACTACCAGGGCGGCCTCTGTGTCCTGGCCTCCCCGTGTCCATCACCCCCACGGTGGAGAAGGAGGCAGGCAGCGTGCTCTGTGCAGCACCGGCAGGAGCTGCAGCCCGGCGTGTTGTTTGTCTCCGCAGGAGGCCTGGGCATGAAGCAGCAGCAGTGGTGCGGGCTGACGGCCAAGATGGGCACCGTGCTGTCGGGGGTCTTCACCATCCTGGCCACCAACATGTACCTCATCTTCGAGCGGAAGCACCTGGGGCACGGCAACTGCTCCGAGATCAGCCTTCAGGAGGAGAGCCCCAACCCCGCGCGGCAGTTCCTCGTCTGCTGGAGCTACACGATCGTGCTGTGCCTGTCCATGGTCACCATCGTCCTCAGCTGCCTCCTGCTGTACGCCGTGTACGCACAGATCTACAGCGGGCTGCTGGTCTACGGGGTCTGGATCCTCTTCTACGAGGCCGTCAACCTGGTGGTCCAGGTCTTCACCAACAAGCTCAGCTCCACCGAGGTGCGCGCCATGCGCTGGCTGGGCTTCGTGCTGCGGACCCTGCTGCACTGCTACGGGCTCTTCTTCGTCGTCGTCTACGCCCACACCATCTACAAGAGCCAGAACCAGGGGAACATCGTCTTCTACAACAGACGCGTTTCCATGAGCGGCGGAGAGACCCCTCGGCAGAAGTCAAAGATCCTGAGCTTTGTCCACCACTATAAAGAGTGACCTGGGCGCCTGTCTTTCCCCAAGAGGCAGGTCTCTCCGGTTCTTAGGGTAGCCCCTTTCTTGCTCTCTCCCCCGCCCCTTTGGCTGAGCAGTTTGGCCAGTGCAGACCCCACGGCCACTCTTCCAGGGGGAATGTGGAGAGATGAAGTGATTCTGATCATAAAGGGCGTATCCTGCTCCTTGAGGGCATTTGTTGAGTTCAAGGGCCTCATGATGGATCAAACCTTCCTTGAATTCTGCCTTCCTGTTCTGGTTATGCTACTGCATAACCTTACTGGTCAAAATCAAGATGAAAAAGTACAGAAATGAAGCTGATTTGCTGAACAGCCGGCTCTCCTTGTTTTGATATGTCTTCATTCGTCTTCAACCCACAGCTCTTTTAATGTGATCTCGGGCTAGCCTCATCTGTATTTAGACTCAGATTGTTGTAGCACAAAGAAAAGACACTGTTGGCCTTGGGGTGGATTTGTGCTATGGTTTCCCCCTCTGTCTTCTATGCTATATTCCAGATAAGTAAGACAATAAAAATAGAGGAGAATCATTCTTCAATCTGTCTTGAATTCTTTCCCTCCTTTGGCGTTCAAGAAGCACTAAAGGGACTTGATTATTCAAGAGGTAAATTTGTGGGACACGATGGCTACTCGGTGAGGCTGAGGCAGGAGGATCACAAATTGAAGGCCAACCTCAGCCACTGAGCAAAGCCTTGTCTCAAAATTTAAAAAAAAAAAAATTAAAGGGACTGGTGACATAGCTCAGTGGTTAATCCCCAGTACTGGAAAAAAAATTAAACAGTGATTAAATTTATTTCTATGACTATCCCTGTACTGTACACTGTGGGGGATACCAAAAAAGAATAAGATGTGTAGCCTGACCTTCAGGATTTTGTAGCTTTATGGAAGAGACTAACTTACTATTTATGAATCAATTAGCCAATCAAATCATAAAATGTACTGTTGCAGATCAACAAACTCTCCTCCTCAAAAAAATAAACATATCACACGCACACACAAAAGCCTATAATTGGACAAATGTTGGCATATGTACATGCCATGAAACCATCACCAAGATCAGGTTCACAAGCAGACATCATCCCAAACTTCCCTGTAAACCCTGTCTTCCAACTCTCTTTTTTTTGGGGGGCGGGGGGGCTACTGGGGATTGAACTCAGGGGCAATTAACCACTGAGCCCCATCCCCGGCCCTATTTTGTATTTTATTTAGAGACAGAGTCTCACTGAGTTGCTTAGTGTCTCCCTTTTGCTGAGGCTGGCTTTGAACTTGTGATCCTCCTGCCTCAGCCTCCGGAGCTGCTGGGATTACAGGTGTGTGCCAACATGCCTGCCTTGTTGTTTAGTTTTTTTATTTTTTTAAATATTTTATTTTTTAATATTTATTTTTTTAGTTGGACACAATAGTTTTATTTTGTTTATTTTTATGTGGTGCTGAGGATGGAACCCAAGGCCTCGATTGTGCGAGGCAAGTGCTCTACCGCTGAGCCACAACCCCAGTCCTATTTTTTTTTTTAAGTAATCATGAATAAGAACAATTTAAATATTGTGTGCAGGTTTATATGGATTTAATGCTTTCATTTACCTTCAGTAAATACCATTTTCCCTTTTTAAGAAACTGGCATTTTTCTTCCCAGAGTGACTGTCCCATTTAAATTCCTTCTCTGGTCCACGAGAGTTCCTGTCCCTCCACATCTTCCCCGGCATTTAACATGGGCAGGAATTTTTTATTCGAGCCATTCTAGTAGGTATATAGTAGTATTTCATTTGCAACTTTAATTTAAATTTCCCTGATGACAAATGATGTTGAGCATTTCTTCATGCACTGATTTAGCATTTTTATATCTTCTTAAGCAATGTGTCTGTTCAAATCTTTTGCAGATTAAAAATGTGTTGTGAAGCACAGGGTTTGATTCTGAGCACCACATAAAAATAAATGAATAAAATCAAGGTCCATCAACATTTTAAACAGCAAAAAAATGTTGTTAGGCAGACAGTGATACAAGCCTGAAAATCCCAGTGACTTGGGAGGTTAAGGCAGGAGAATCACAAGTTCAAAGCAGGCCTCGGCAACTCAGCAAGGCCCTAAGCAATTTAGCAAGATCCTATGCTAAATAAAATATTAAAAGGGCTGGGGATGTGGCTCAGTGGTTAAGAACCTGGGTTCAATCCCTGGTACCAAAAAAAAAAAAAAAAAGGAGGAGAAAATCTAATACAGAGTTATGTGAAATAAACAGAAATTTGTTGACTGGGAAGTGTAGGAATGAAGGCCCAGCAACTGGCAAAGGCCTTGCTGTGTCATAACATGACCAAAGGCCTTACAATGCAAATAGGCAAAAAGGAGGGCAAAAAAGGGAGGTAGTACCGGTGAGCAAGTCCCTCCCACAGTTCCAGCCCGAGTCCACTCATGAGGGGAGCCCTGGTGACCTTCAAAACTCCCAGCTCAGACACTGTCATGACGGCCATTAAATTGCAACCTGCGTTTTGGAGGGACAGACATTCCAACAACAGCACAGGCCATTTCCATTTCCATAGAAACTTTAGAATCAGCTTGAAGTTTCTATTTTTAAAAAGCCTGCTGGAATAAATTAAAAAAAAAAAAAAAAAGCTCTCTGGGATGTTGATAAGGATGGCACTGGATCCATAGATGGATTTAGGGAGAATTGAAATCTTGATTTCAAATCTTGATTTCGATTCTAATACATGAGAATGATATCACCTCCCCATTTATTCAAGTCTTTAATTTCTCAGTAATGTTTTATAGCTTTCAACACTCCAGTCTTCATGTCATTTGTCAGATTTATTTTATATATATTTTTTTCTCTCTCTCTTTCTTTTCTTAGTGGCACTGGGGATTGAACCCCAGGTGCTTCACACACTGAGCAACATCTGCAGCCCTTTTTATTTTTTACTTTGAAACATGGTCTTGCGAAATTGCCAAGGCTGGTCCTGAACCTGGATCCTCAGCCTCTTGAGTTGCTGGAATTCAGGTGTGTGCCACAGCTCTCGTCTCCATCATTGATTTCGAATGTAATTTCAATATGAACAGAGAACATACATTTTTCATTTTAAATTTATTGAGGCTAGTTTTTCGTTTTTGTTTTTCAGTGCTGGCGATTGAGCCCAGAGCCCTGCACACGCTAGGCAAGCAGTCTACCTCTGAGCCATACACCCAATCCCAAGACTAGTTTTATGACATTTAATCTCGATAAATGTTCTGTGTGAACCTGGAAAGAACAGCTGCTACTGTTACATGCAGTGCTCCATAATGTGAATTAGATCGAATTGGTTGATAATATTGTTCAAATCTTGTAATACCTTTCCTAATTTTCTGTCTGCTTCTTTTTTAAATTTTAATTTAATTTTATTTTTTTAGTTATAGATAAACACAATGCCTTTATTTAATTTATTTATTTTTATGTAGTTCCGAGGATTGAACCCAGTGCCTCACACATGCTAGGCAAGGACTCTTATCACTGAGCTATAAGCGAAGCCCCTTCTGTCTACTTCTATCAGTTAGTCAAAAAGAAGTATTAAGGTCTCTGAATATAATCATGGATTTGCTTATTTCTCTTTGAAACTAGCAGCCTTTTCTTTGTGTATTTTGAAGTGTAAATGGGTACATGAATGTTTAGAGTTATTCTATCTTTTTGATATAACAAACAAAAAAATAAGCCTTTATCATTTAAATTGACTTTTTTGGAGAGGGGGTGCCAGGGATTGAACCCAGGATGATTCTACCTTTAAACTACATCCCCATCCCCTGGCCTCAAACTTGGGATCCTCCTGCCTTACCCTCCTGAGTAGCTGGGATTAAAGTCTGTGCCACTGCATTTGGTTGAAGTGACCTTCTTTACTTTGGGAATACTCTTTGCCCTACAGTTTATTTGATCTGGTATTAATGCATCCGGTCCATTCTTCTTTTGATTTGTGTTAACAAATTTATCTATTTTTTTTTTACTTCTAACTTATTTGTGTCTTTATATTTAAAAGATGCTTATTGTGCAGGGGGTATGACTCAGCGGTAGTGCACATGCCTAGCATTTGCACAAGGTTCTTCTTTCAATCTCTACTACTACAATGAAAAAATTAACTGATTGACTTTTAACATATGCCTAATATAAGCAGTATATAGTCAGGACTTGCTTTTTTACTTTTAAAATCTAATCTGGGGCTGGGGATATAGCTCAGCTGGTAGAGTGCTTGCCTCGCATGTACAAGGCCCTGGATTCGATCCCCAGCACCAAAAATAAAATAAAATAAAATCTGACAACTACTGACTTTTAATTTGGATATTTAGACCATTTACATTTAATGGTTATCTTGTTATTTGTTTTATATTTGCTTCATCTGTTCATTTATTTTTACTCACTTTCTGTCTTCTTTTGTATTAATTTAATACTTCTTATGGTTCTATTTTTCTTTGTTACTTTAAGGAATATAATTGTTTTTTATGTTATTTTAGGGTTTTTTTGGTGGGGAGGGGATACCAAGGATTGAATTCAGGGGCACTTGACTACTAAGCCACATCCCCAGCCCTATTCTGTGTTTTACTTAAAGACAAGGTCTCAGTGAGTTGCTTAGCACCTTGCTTTTGCTGAGGCTGGCTTTGAACTCATTTTATCTAGGATCTTCTATCCTCCAGATCTGGGGACAGTGAGAGGCTTATGTATCTGAAGTCATTCTGGGTCAGGAGGATGGTGGGAAATTAAATGCAGGAATAACTTGGATGCACCTTAAAAACATTATACCAACTGGGTATGGTGGTCCATGCCTATAATCCCAACTACTCAAGAGGCAGAGGTAGGAGACTCTCAAATTCAAGGTCAGTCATGGCAGTATAATGAGACCTTGCTTGAAAATAAAAAGAAAAGGGTTAGAGATATTACTCAGTGGTAGAATCCTTGCCTAGCATTTGCAGGGTCCTGGATTTGATATCTAGTACTGAAAATAAATGAACAATTTAAAAAAAAAGAAAAGAAAAGGAAGCACACTATTGTACTACCATAAGGTTCTTATATTAGCTGTGGAGTAGCATAATATTACTTAAAGGTAGAATGTGATGAGTTACATATGTATACCACAAACCTTAAATCAAATACTAAAATAAGTCCGGCATGGTGGTGCATGCCTGTAATCCCAGTGGCTCAGGAAGCTGAGGCAGGAGGATCGCAAGTTCACAGCCAGCCTCAGCAACAGCAGGGCACTAAGCAACTCAGTGAGACCCTGGGGACGTGACTCAGTGGTTGAGTGTCCCCGAGTTCAATCCTCAGTACCATCCCGAGAAAAGCAAAGATTTAACAAGGAACAGGGTACCCCATATGTCATCTCAGTTACTCAGGAGGCGAAGGGAGGAGAATCCCAAGTTTGAGGCCAGTCTGGGCAACTGAGGGAGACCTTGTCTCAAAATTAAAAGATCTCCCTCTCCCTCCCCGTCCCCTTCCCTCTCTCCCCTTCCAGGCTGTCATGAACTGAGCAGCTTTGCTCTGCCACACCCTCCCATCATGATGCTCTTCCTCAACTTGGGTCTCGAGCTGTGCAGCTGGCCCACCAGGAGCCAAAATAAACTTGTCCTTCTCTAAAATAAATAAATAAAATAAAAAGCTGGAATACTGCTCAGTGGTGGAACACTTTCCTAGCATGTGCAAGACCCTGGATTTGATCCTCAGAACTGCAAAATGAACACACACACACACACAAACAAAATTTTAAAAACCAACCAAAAAAAGAAGAAGAAGAAGATGGAAGCCTGGAGAGAAGATAGACAATGTTGCAGCCCAGGCCAAGGCTAGACGTTTGGATGCTCCCTAAGTCACTTGTGTGAACCCCTGTTCAGAAACTGGAGAATCTGGAGGCAACAACAAAGAATGCACCCATCCAAGAAGAACAGAGCCAGGTGCAGTACATACCTGGAATCTCAGCAGCTCGGGAGGCTGAGATTGCAAGTTCAAAGTCAGCCTCAGCCACTGAGCAAGGCCCT